GAAACAATGGAAAAATGAAATATGACTGCACAAGACTTTCCACTAGCAAGTTACTTCAACGACTTGGTAAAAGCTAGACTTGATTACTCCGCCAATTAAAATCGACACTGATTCATAAATAAATATATACATATATAAAATCATAAATACGTAAACTCACAAGAGGATTTGACAGAATCGACTTCATTACTCGTTTCATCTTCGCTGTATTCAGATGGTAGGGATTCACACGACACGAAAAATCCATAATCTGTCAAAATAATTCCATGAAGTAACAAAAATGTAAAGCAACTACGACCATTATTTTCACTGTACACTGGCGAACTCAGAGATGCCCATATAATTGGAAAACTAACGCTGATAACGTAGCCGTCTTCTCTCTTAGGTCCTAATGCATCTATTGCTTCAAACTCGGCAGCAACTGCGGCAGCTCGCTCTTCCTTAGTCATCGCATAGAAGTCCTTCTTTGGTACAAGACTCTAAACGAACAGTACTGCAGAAACCGGGCTGAAGTTTTCGAGACATTCTCTGAGCACACCTTCACATCAATTCCTATCGCTTTGAACTCATCAGGACGAATGTCCCTAAAACGATCCTTCTTGCATGAATCGCTATCGTCCGGGTAATACACATCATCGTTGAAGCTGTCATCCTGAAAATCCTGGGCAAAGCTTCCGTTCTCAGAATGCATCGCAGAACTTGGTCTTCTTGACGTCTGTTCAGATGGTGGTGCAGGAGTGACTTTGCCGTTCTCCATACTAGGCTGATCCCTAAATCCGATAAGCTGTTGGTTCAACTCGCAGGTTGATAGCTTTAGAAAAACGCACTCGTCTGGCAAGGTACGAAATCCTCCATAGGTAGTTAGCCATTCGTCACAAACGCCGCCGTCAACATCGGGAGCAAGCACGTTCTGCTGAGGTTCTTCGGCTGCTGGTGACTTTTTGAGTGTACCATTAAAAGGCAGCTCTGAGCTGCTTGGTGAACGTTTGATCTCCACTTTTACACCAGGATAATGTCCCTGCAATGTATTTACCGCATTACATCATATAAGCAAGCAACTACAACTAACTTGAGTTGTACATATGATGACAAACCTTCTGAGCTACTCCAGGCTTCACAAAATTCTCATATTTGTATTCCTTAAGTGCCCGTCTGAGAGGAGGCTTTCTTCTCAGGAAGATGACATCCTCTCCGCGCGTAGTACTACGAGATTCCGTCACAGAAAAACGATCTTTCAGTGAAAACGGTGAGTGCACTTCAGACTTCACAAAATATCTAAAACAAAGGAAGTGAACCTATAAGATGGGAAGTCGCCGTAGGACTAAGTGAAAACTCATTTCCCTCTAAAGAAAAACTCACTCTTGTTCCATCACTTCCACCTTTACTTCCGGCTCAGTCTTGATTTTTTTCTCTTTTTTCTTCGGTGGTTCTTCCAAGGTGTTGTTCAGCTTTTTACCTAAAACTTAGTCTGAGTAACGAGAAATGAAACTTGAAGGTTCGAGATTGAAAAATTTTCTGAACAGCTATTGGTAGAGAGATGGCAAGGATGAGTTTTTAGGGTTTCAACGAAGAGCTTGACAACTTTCCTTGTCCAGCTACCGATACGGTAGGCGGCGATATATGAACACGCTTCTGTACAAATCTAGCATTTACTGTGTCCTCTTGTAAGTCTGTGATCAGTATGTATGTCGAATGTATGCATAGGCCATATCTGAGGAGAAAAAGAGGCGCTGCGTTTCAACATATGCGTTGCGGCGACGATGTGAGAGCCCAGAGGAAGGGCAGACATCTGTACAAGAGTAGAGTCGGCACGGAGATTTGCCGCCGTCGCCAATCTAGCAACTATACTTGGTAACATCCTTTTCTGCCCTCCGATGTAAAACCCACATCGGTACACCTCCTCCTTCACAAATTAAAGGTGAGTTTGTGCGGAGAGGGCGCAGAATGCACCAGTGTAAAAAGCATTGGACCTGAACGGAAACGGGATAGAAGAACCGACTGCTAACAGTTCAAGAGAAACAGTAAGGCTTACGCTAACAACTTTTTGTACACCACGGCTGCAGTGGTCACGTTCTAGGGCTATATGGGTCCCAGTTTGAGGAACTGATACATCAGCCGGCAGCTCACCCAAAGGGTACGACCGCACTGGACACTGGAAGACTGCACGTGCAGAGGACGGACAGCCAGCAAGGTGGAGACCCTTATGGAAGAAACTGGTAATAGCATCTGTCACTTTTTCTGCAGTACAAAACCTACAACAACTTCATAAAATCTTGAACCATCTTCTTGAGACAAGGTGACTAGAAAGGTCCTCTGGCATGCGAAATTACTTGCACCAGTATGGTGTACAACAGCTCCTTCAAATCTCGTCTACTCATACAATTACCATGGCTTTCGATGAAAGTACTACCAATACTATCACAAGAATGCTGAGTTGTGGGCAAAAGTCGTGCCCCAGGCGGGAGTCGAACCCGCACCTCACGCTTTCCGGGCGAGTGCGCTATCCGTTACGCCACCAGGGCCGCTTTTACCCTCTCAGCTTAACGGCGTGTGAGTGCTGTAAGGCTACGGCATAAAAGCCGTTAAGCTGAGAGGGTAAAAGCGGCCCTGGTGGCGTAACGGATAGCGCACTCGCCCGGAAAGCGTGAGGTGCGGGTTCGACTCCCCTGGGGCACGACTTTTGCCCACAACTCAGCATTCTTGTGATAACATTCGGAACGCGTACTGCGGCGGGTAAAAGCATAATTGATAACAAAAACTACCCAACCTACTATTAAGTGACACGTCATCAGAAAGCGTGCCCCTCTGAAAATATCCAAGGAAATCGCTCCAATTTCAACGGAAAACCCATAGAAGGCTAGACTTTGCTGCGAAAATAGGGCTCGCTCTTTTCAGATTGAAGCACACCGAGTGAATCTTTTGGCGGCTCAATGTACCTGCGTGCTCTATATCAAAAGTTGACTGGTTTTAGAAAACCAACCATAGGAACAGCTCAAATTATTCCTAACAATTGGTACATTTGTAGTCAAACGAAGAAAAAAGATGCCAAAAAGCAGCGCCACAGTTCGCACTGCTTTACACACCACTTTCACGACTTCTAGAGCACTGTTGAGGAAATTTGCCCTCTACTTTAGCAATCAAAGAAGGGAGTGAATGCGGAACACATTTCGCATGAGCTCGTAAACGACTACGGTATGAAGCTTGCTCCTGCTCACAAAAAGGTACAGCTCGGTAAGGTAGCTCTAAGACTTTGAAAACTTCACATATGCTACGAGCTCCTTTTCACACAGAATTCTCCTTCCAGAAACATTAAAAATCATGCAACGCATGCACAGATTTCAAAGTTCTTTCCTGAATATGAACTTACCCTTTTTAGCGGTAGCGTCTGTGTCACGTCATCTACCGTGTCTCCACAGTTCTTCTTGGTCCTGTCAACAATGGACGCCTAGGTCACCTGGAAATTCCTCCTCAACATTTGCAGCAGAGACATCCTGCGGATTCTGAAATCACCACCGCCATTATACTTCTCTGAAAACGGCAATCTTCAATTTATATTGACTACGTTTACTTGTAGATGTCATTCAGGAACTGTTGTTGCCCAAAATCTCGAGTTGGAATCAGAATCAGAGCACTGAATCAACAGCTGAAGCCAAAATGGCATTCAAAAACATGATTCACTGATATAGTAAAATATGTGAGATATAAGCAAAAGCTAGACCCGGGATAGGACTTCGAAACGCCATTCCGCTTACGGAAGGTTGGGTTATCCATTACGCTACCGGGGCCTCCCTTGCCTTCTCAGCTCAATGGCATTTTCTGCCACAGCCTTACAGCACTCACATTCTTGTGATAACTTACGGAGCGCGCACTGCGGCGTTAAACAGCAGTTATCAGAACTAAAACAGCTTTATAATGATTCACTGACTTCCACAAAGAGGGGATGACTTTCGGTTGACACTTGCCCACAACCTTTCTCAATAGAAAAAAAATAATATGAGAGAATGTGGAAACATGCCGTCTCTTCTTCAATGCTCAGTTAAAGTAGAACTGAGGAGTCATCTCCATGGATTCCGGACCTTGCCGTGAGCTCGTAGCTGCATTTGCGGACCTTTTTCTTTTCTAAGATGTGCAAGGGAACGGGCTGGAAGGTAGTACTGCCTAGATGGCAATGAGGGTAATGTATCGTGATGCGGTCTCCACTCTTCGCCAGCGCTGCCCCACGGTCAGCAACATGCCTAGCCATAGGACGAGTCCAGACTTCACGCAAGGGTCGTCCGTGACCACGATCGGGGACTCCATCCCAAAAGACGCTGCATCCGGCTGCAACGGGATTAGCTAGTATACTCTGAACCACCTGGAAGACATTCTGATGCCGCTGCATACGGTGACAGTGTGCTGCGCGGTGGAGCGAACCGTATCGTGATCCGAGCCAATAATCCAGTCAGAAGCGAGTCGCGATTCGCGCAGCAGTCTGATACTCGATACAGAGCTGGAAATGAGAGCACTTGTCTGTCGCATCTCCAACATTCACTTATGCTCTTTCTGAGCCACTCGATCGTGTTCACACTAGCGAGCCTTAGGACGGCAAACGACTGCGCTGTGGATAGTGGTGGCAGAGTATGGAGACGGCACTCGTGTACTACAACTCTACAGCCTCGTTCCTGGGAACGTTCGAGCAGAGAAAGTGACACGCCTATTGACGAGCTCTGCCGGACCCACTCGCTTCGAACATGCAATGAAACATCTCCCGAGGTGAATGTAACAGTTGTGCACCTTTGAACTAAGGAGTGAACATTACAAGTGAAGAGATAATCAATACACAGACATTTTCTACAAATAGCGCATTGATGAATAATAGTGAGGCAAAATCATCGTGGTAGGCACTACACACTTACTCATGTAACGCAAGACTGTCTGTGAGTCTCTTTGTCGCGCCCATGCGTGGCCCGCACGTGTGCACGGGTCTGAGTGTATCTGACTAGAGTACGCAGTCCTACACGCCTATCTGTTCTTGATGTGTGCATTTTGGGTGAGGCAGGCGTGAACGCATACTGGATATTTGGGAAATGTTGTGTTGGTGCCCGAGTATCTCTCATGGCCGCGCGCTTCTCCCAGTGTACGAACATCTAGAGCAGAAGACTGCTTCATTGAGTACGTTCTACCCAATATTCCCTACGGTCCTTTTCGATATTCTATATTATATCACAATAGTGTGCAAGGCAAGTGTACCCGAGGCAGCACTATGCTGCTAATCTCTTCGAGCAGCCCTCGTGAACTATCGAGACGTAGTTCTCCAGAGCATAACGGCCCCTTCCTGAAGAGAGCATCCACACTGGGCGGAGACAACATTATTGTACAGCAGAGGGTACTGATCGATCCGTAGAGCAAGAAATCTTGCGAATAAATGAGGGCACATACATCGCTCGGTACTCATACAGCACGAAAGTACTGTTCTCGAAAATACCCAATGTTGCGCTAAAGTCATTACACCATTGAGTCCACGCGATAGTAATTCTGCAAATATATGTATGTTATTTTCTGGAATGTTAATACTGCTCCATCTCACTCATACCGATACTTCACCACTATCGCTCATCCCATTGTATCTTCCTGGGCGGAAACATTTTTGCTTCAGAATCGCCAATTCTTCCGGTGCCATACCAGCGCCAATACGTTCAGCTCGTCTGCAATAAGTCAACAAGTTTATTTGACTGGCGAAAGCAGGCCCAAAAATTATCAAAGGAGTAAGAAAGTAGGGCGCATGAAGACTCTATGTCACAGAATATACGTTAGCAAGCATGGGTTATTTAAAAAAAATATGTGCTATATGTGTTACCTTAAGCTCTCATGAGCTTGCTCAACGGTGACCCTGAATTTGAATACTTTCATATGATAAGTTGCATCCATGTATCGCACATCAGTATGAGTGCCGCATTTCTGAACAAATACATTATTCGAGAATTGTATTGTCCCGAAGTCTCATGGTTGCCTAAGTTCAAAACAACGAAGAACTCCAAAAAGTTTTTACCAAAGAGTTAAAGATCTCGCACCTTTTGAACCCTGTGGAGTAAACTTCTTAGAGCTTCTTCTTGTTTTTGAACATTTAAATATATTACTGATCTAAGCACATGCTAAAAGTGGCGCAGTTCGGCATTTTGCATTTTCGCTGCTCCGTTGATTCTGGTTTACAAATCTTTTGAACATGTGATTTTACAGGTCTCCACTTGATGGCTCGACACGTTGATGGGAAGTAGCAAAAATGCTAAGGCATTGTTCACACTCGCGGTCCAGCGTTTCTCTGAAACGCGGCGGTTCGGCGAAAAGCTTTCGATACATATCGACTGGCGGTTGGGCGAAAGGGTTTTGGTACGTATCGACGGGCGTTTCGCCAAACCGCGACGTTTTTCGCCTTCGACAAAACGCTAGCTCCATTGCGGTGGCGTTTTTCGCCAGCGAAATCGATACACATCTACTGCTTTTCGCCCAACCGCCCAACCGCGGCGGTTGGGCGGTTGGACGGTTGGGCGATTCTCCGATCGATGACTATTTATTGCTTTTCTCCCAACCGCCGTTTCGTCAGGGCCTGGCGACTGTGAACAATGCCTAATTGTCCCCCCCCCCCTCCGTCGCCGAACTGCGCCCTAAAAGATTTTAAAAGATTAACCTACCACAAATTCAATTGTGTCATTGAAAATAACTTCCTCCGGTACGCGCCACTCAGCAGTATCACATCCAGTACCCAGAATTGAAGCCACAATCTGCTTTCGATCTTCGGAATCATTGTCGTTCGAATGGGACAAATCGAATGCCTTGGAAAACACATTTTGCAAGGTGTCAAGGAAGGTCTTCTCTTTCGGTGGTTCAATGAGGTCCAGAAAACGCGAAGTTCTCCATTCTTTAAAATCTTCTTCGTCGATCTCTTCTTCGTCAGCATCATTGGAAAGGCTTGCCCTGGCTTCATAACACTCCTTAACCACATTGTTGCAACGAGTTCGTACCGTCTGAGTCAGCTCGTTTCGCATGTTTTCAAGAACGGCTGTTTGATTTTCATGTTCAGCTCTGAGCCGATTCATAAGAGGACCCCTGCCACTCGTCCTGGATTCTTCTATTTCTTCCAGATCAGTCTGAGAGTTCGGCCCGACCTTCAACGGAGAGATGTGGAAATTGACAAGCTGTACATCCGCTGATGCCTGAAGGATAAACCGATTACTCACGATAGCTTAACTTCCTCATTCTTTAGAAACGTACAATTCCATGACTCTCCAGTTCTTTCCTCGCGTCAGCAGTGAGCTTTACAAGATCAAGCTTGCTCATTTCGTTGTCCATAGGCTTTAGATCGATGTCTTCTTTGAAGTACAGCTATAAACTCAACAAAACACTCGCTTATAAAATAACTTCTATAAAGTACCACAAACGCACGTCTTCAATTTTCCTATTCCTAGGGTTTGCATATTTGTTGACAGGGACGCGAATGAGTGGCGCCACCCTTCCAAACGCCGCTCCCTTTGGCAGCTTCTTAAAGGTATACAGAGTCTTGTCCGCGTTCTTCTCGACACAACTATACCTATCCCTGGGTTCGTCGGACGCTAAAACATATCATAAATGGTTTTCCAGAAGTTTTTCAAAGAAAGCCATTTATGCGAAAAAAATAGAAGAAGGGTCTAGAAAATTCTAACATTATTGCAACATACACTCTTCTTCCGGATCGAAATGATGATAAAACGGTCGTTCTTGGAGAACATAGCCAGTCATGTCCCCAGTCCTCAAATATTGACCAGTTTTGTACAATAGCGGATTGTCCTCGAGCAAGAAATGGTCCCAAGTTGTCGGTTCCTTTTGCAGCGCGTTTGCCAACATGTCTTAAAAGAAGAAATATACGAGTCGAACGCCTTTGAAATAAGCTTGATTGTAGGAAAAGACGAAAAGAGATATTACCTCTGCAGCGTTTAACCACTGACAGTTCCATTTCCTCACTGTATCTCCCTTGTGGAACAGATCTCCTAATCATCGCATCATGCAGTACGATAACCTTTCCTGTGATGTCTCTACGTGCTTGGAAAGTCGCTAATCCATCGATCCGATCTGATTCAAGGTTTGCCGTTACCTAAAAAAAAGTTGGGCTTCATGTAGCTTTTTGACTGTGCTACAACAAGCATTAATTCTTAGTAATAAACTTGGATAGGCATCACCAACTCGGACAATTTTAACGAAAAGCAATTAAGTGAGCTCAAAATCCAAAGCAAGATTTACAAGATTAGGATTGCATCGAAAGCGACAACGTCGCTTAGAGTGCGCTCATATTTTGTAGCAGCGTTTTGAACGTCTGTCAGCAGTTTGAGGGTTATAGCGTCAAGGAAAGTACCCTATCGGAGAAGCGTTTTAGCCTCCACCAGCGCTCTAAGCGTCTGAGCGACTAAGAAGGTGTAGGTGTCGATATTTATATCGAGATATATGTACACCTATTATGCTCTAGCGAAACTGGGAACGCTGGTGAACGCTCAAAACCTGACGCAAACGATGAACACATTCCTACTCCCCTGATATCTCGAGTTTATCGCGTTTATCAGACTAAAATGTGATAAGCCGAAACCTCAGCCAAAAAGGTCACCGTTAATCTAAGGAACTAGCTAGCCTACACAGGTAGGACATTATAAAACTCATAAACAGCAAAACTCAGATAGAAAATGAAAGTCTTAAAAAAGACTCACCCGCATGAAATCCGTGTACGTTGTACAGAACTCCAATGGCGGAATTTTCTTCCATGACATTAATTTCCTCTTCTAAAGTTCATAAATCACATTTTGGAGTACTATTAGGTCATCCATTAAAAAACATGGAAGATTTTATTGATTTAAAACGAAGAGGAAAATAGATAAAAAGTAATATTTTGGCATTAAGTCAAATCGATCCCTCTTCCATCAATGACCGCGAAAGCGTATGACAACTGGTACCTTCTTTTTCAACAAGTGCGAGTAAATTGCTGTTGATGCCAATTTCGGCGAATGACAAAACGTTGTAGCGTTTGTTTGCCGTCGGACAGTACCTTCGACTGACCAGAACAGTTGAAATCGCACGGCTTATGTTGGGCGAATGAGAGGCGATTGAACTAGGTCTCAGTATTGTTTGTGTCCCAGCACTGCCCTACAATACAGTTACTCGGGGTCTGGCACTATGACGAGCAACGGTGGCCTTCTTGTAGTTGTGTGGTACATCCATTTGTCGATCTGATTGCCGAGGAACAGGCAATATACACCGAAAGTGACGATTTTGTTCTTGTATGGAGCCGCTTGAAAGCCACAGTGCAAAAATCATCGACACTAGATGAATCAATCCACCTTTTGCCGCGCTAACTTCCTATTATGGCACGAATTTCGGGCGCTTCTCCGTCTGCATTCATAGAAAATTGACGTTTGTGGTTATGGCTCGGAGTTCAAGACCACTCATATTTCATCTGGGGCTGGGGTGCGTTCTCACAGTCGTGAATGGCATCTTATGCGCGAAGAACATTACTTCACTATGGCATGTCGAATGCAGTTACTCGATCGTTAGTGCTTCCACATGAAAATTCTGTATCCATAAGTACACCCCTTGACTATCCTCAACTTATCCGACATAAGGCGGGCAGCAATTGCAGCAGGGATGTCAGTCATTCACCCTTTTTTCTGCAGTGGGGGCATGCAGGATTGACATTATAGGACATTAATCCATGAGACGGAAATTCCCCGTCTTTATCTTCTCGCCTCTTCGTGTGCTGAACCAGAATCTTCCTTGCTTTTCGAAACACCATTACGCGCAACTACTGGTCCGGCATGAGTCGAATCTGAACAACGTTTTTTCCTCTTATGACGCCAGATTCGTAAAATCGGCGCTGATTTTGACCATTCCGGTTTTTTTTCAATGTTCGCCAAAAAAAAGAAAGAACGTTCGTTCCTGGGTGCCCGCAGGTTTGCGATCACCAAATAGCGGAGCTAAACGTACTAGCTTTCCACAATGGTGTAGCTAGGGCGCTGCTCCTATGCTTTGCTTCCCTGCTATCCTCTATATGTTCACATTTTTGAATGAGATGACGGCTAATATATTTATAAAAACAAACCGAGTGACCCCTTACTGCCCGGACGACGTGTTTTCCGAAGATCAAGACGTCTGCACTCAACTCGCTCGAGAAGCTCTTGCGTGAAACTCCAGTGTTGTAGATAACTACCACTCAATGGAAATTTCAAACCAAATGAGTAATCGAACGTATCGGCATCTAAGTACAAAATTCAGATACGGTGACTATGAAAATGGTAAAAGTCCCAAAGAGAATGACCTAGTCAAGAAAATCACCTGGTAGTTTCAGCCAGTCCTGTTGTGCATTATCCTCATTCTGGAACTCATCCATGTCCGCCTCTGTCGCCTTTTTCGCTTCCTCGTCTACTGATTAAGAGCTCATTAATAAAGCAAAATTACACCATAATAAGAACGAAGTGACTGAGATTTTCTAGGCGAAGTGCTTCTGCCGAATGTGGTAAAAACATTACGAACAGGCTGTGGTAATTATGTGCATCTGAGTACAAATAATGTTTTTAAAATTGCAGTCCATCGCAGTTATGTTGGCAGACAAATTATGCACCGCATCACAAATCACTGACACTGAGATAGAGCACTAACTATGTACGTCTTTCACCATGCTCCGTCTTGAAGCGCGTTCATACTTCGCAACAGCGTTTTGAGAGTCCGCCAGCGGTTTCAGCGAAAACGGCTATACTTTCTTAGTCGCTGAAAGGGCTTGTGGGCGCTCAAAACGCTGACACCCGAAACGCTCAGAACGCTAGACGATATGTTCACCTTCGTTGTCGCTGAAAGCGCCGATACAAAAACACATTCACACCGCTAATACAGTTTCTGTAGGCGCATGACTTCACGTACGATACTGACGCTAGCCACGCAGGCAACTCCAAGTGTTTGCCGCTCCTGTGAGTTTCATGTGCTTCAACCATCACTCCTTTTTTCTACACTGATACTAATCCCTAGCTCTGTTCCACAGTATGTGTTGCAACCAAGAGTACTATAGTAATTATCAACGCAAAAGCAAAAACGACTAAGCTAGTCCTCAAGTGATAGTGGCCAGATTTCCGGCAAACATCCATGGAACGACTTAACGACATTTTCCCTAAGAAAGTTGAATAGATGCAGAAACCTACCTTCATTCTTTTTCCGCCTCCTCTTGTCCTTGGTATTCTCAATATTTTCACCGGTAGCGAGTAGCATTGCTAAAATATAAGAAATCAGCTAAAAGTGTAGATCTCCTGCAGCAAAAGCAGGTAGTAATGCTAAATTAAGCGCCCAGACAACAGCAAGGGATTTGAAAGGGCAAGCCCTGCACACTATGAAGGTGAATGAAATAAAGATTTGAAGCAGAAACATCCTTGGGTACATCCCACTTCGTGAACCCACATCAGCCTTCTCCCCCTTTTGACGGCCTGGGAGACCTGGCGATTCGAGAGTCGCACGACGAGGAAAGTATAGATGTCGATCTAGCGACTGGGAAGGATCTATCGTTTTGGGAGACTGAGCGATCGCGTTTCGGGCAGTTGTGCGCCAAAGGAGAGCAGCGGTATGACTCGGCAGCGGCCGGATCGCTGAAACTCAGCAATCGTTAGCGATCGGCGCCGAGCGACACGACGCTCCTTCAGCGCGCAATCGCCCAAGTCGCCGGACCGCTCAGTCTCCCAATACACTGGATCGTCGATTCTTTCCAAAACCGGATCGATACCTAAACTTTCCTCGTCGTGCAATCTCCCGGGTTGCCGAGTTCCCATATCTCCGAGTCTCCTCGCGTATGAACGTGCCTAAAATTACATAACTGTGACATCAGCTGCCCACCAAAGAGGCCTCACTGCGTGAGATGTCAAGTAGCGATATGGTTGGCAAGAGCAGGAAAATGTTATTTGTTTTCGTGAAGGTGGCACGCACACAACATCACTGCCAACACGAAAATGAGCAAAGAAGCGTGACTAAGCCACTACACTACTAACAGAACCATGCACAACTACACTACGCCACTAACAGACCATGCAACTAAGCCGAAGCACACAACACCAATTGGTCTTGCAGTGGAACCACCACAGCTCGCCAGAAAGCCTCCCCCATATCAAAGGAATCTTTGAAACAATCCGCTATCCCCTCTATTCGGTACAAGGTATAACTGATGATATTCTCACTTGGATATAAGATGATACTGTGGACAAAAACCAAAACGTTTCTTATAGATTTAAAATAATTTCTAAGGGGGAGGAGGTAGCTTGCCTATCACCCACCGTGTTTGACTCATTATTCCAACATAAAGCACTTCTGCGGAGAAATATGTTATGCGGAAAGCCACACAGCTGTCACAATTAGATAATATAAAAAATGTTTCGAGTTTTGGCGTCGTGATTGATGACAGAATCAATGACAAGACCAAACACGGTAAATGGTAGAGCTATGGTGCGTGTTGCGGTTGTCCACTACCTTTCTCTGCATCGCTTTTACCACGAATGAAAGTGTAGCGTGTCTCCTGTGCGTCGTTGTGCGTCCGATCTACGCGAAGACTATAAACGGCCGTGGCAATGGCCAAAGCAACAGCATCTTCCTTAACAGTGCACATGACTTTCTCTAAATTAGCTGACCATGATTTCAATAAAGAGGCAATATGAAACACTTAGAAACCTGCAATCACAAGAACAACTTTAACAACACTGATGCACGCAATTTATTATACAAAAAACAAACTGAAAGAAGAAGGGAGACCTGCATATTTTCCGATTCTCTCAAGCAGACATCTATACAGTCTAGTGCCGTCCTATCTTCAAAGCAGTTAGCCATCACAACTTTGGTCCTCTTCCCATCGTTTAGCGCAGCTATTCTATCCACCATCCTCGCTGACATTCGCATTTCAGGATCCTCTGTCTCCTCAGGTTCATCTCCTGTAATTAATTCCAGGAATATACACAATGTAAACATCGATAGGAAAAAAGAATCTAGCTCAGGTAAAATTCTTATCTAAGAAACTCACGTTTCGTAGATCTTAAAGGTTTCGGTTTTCTAACAGGTGTTTTGCGTTGTTTCTCTTTACTAACTTCAAGCTGGATCGAGTCATACGAGTTAAGATTTCGGAGTGGCTAAAAGAGGTAATGCAAACCAACCTTTTTCGGCCTAGACTAATAGAAAATACTGTGGTACCTTGGGCTTTAGCAACCTGCCCCGCTTCGCGGGTACAAAATCGTCGTCGAATTCATCTTCGTACTTTGAGTCAAGGTCCTCATAGTTGTCCTGAGATCTTGGCGTTAGAAATAGTACGATCACTGTGATCAAAGGTGAGCACCAATAGTTAATGGATATAACGTCTCAGAAAACCAATTTCATCTTTATTTTGTAACACTCTTTTAGTTGTTTGTTTTCTCTTCGGAATTTGACTGCACTGAAAGCTTGATGATTTCACTCTGTCTAAACTGTCTTTTCTGTAAGTACCGGCCCATAATTTCATCAGCATGCTTAACTATTGCGTCTACCGTGCAAAAACCGAACAAACAGTAGATTATAGAGAAGTAACGCACCTCATGTTTCGGATTTCTTTTCCTACGACGACTTATATTTACATCAGGACCTATGGCATCAGCCATTCCGCCCCTTATAGAGAAACCACTGGAATTTGTATTGCTAACCGGAAGCAAAAACGAAAAATGACGAGACAAAACGGAACAAAGAGAAAATGGGGATGAGGATATCTAAAACAATAAGCATGATGCCCAATAATAACTGCGTACTCTTCTAACCCATGCTCATTGAAATTATAAAACTTAGAAAGCTTCAAAATCCAGAAAGACACCGCCGCCTTGATTTTCTGCATGAAACGGCTGATGTGATCGCGTACCCTAGCGGCTACCGTATCCACGCATACGTTATTCATTAATGCACTTCTGCATGTATCCGAAGGACGCTTGTAACATTACCAAAAAGAGGTCACCGAGGAAAAAGAAAACACGACATCAGGGACGCTGGGTCGCCAGTTCTTCCAAAATTCCTGAACCGGAATTTCAAGGCTCACTTATAGAGGCCATCATTTGGCGGACAGCAGCAAGAACTTGTTACTGGAGGTGGAGCTGAGCTGTTACTTTCGCTGGGTTTTTCTTGGCAAGGTTTCAGGCAAGAACTTGTCTTTAGGTCACTCAATCTTAAAACTGACTCTAACGCTCAGTTATATATACTCCTTATCCCTGAGCCAGAGTAGGCGTGGCATTTGAACATGGCACGGAACTGGTTACTCGTGGAATATTCCAGTCTGGGACAACTGTCATCTTGTTCTCTGTTGGACAGAGACACGACAACAATTGTGTCAAGATGAAAATATCTCACCAGAAGCATAGACTCCTTCAGGTTAAGTTGAAGCATGCAGCCACGTCTACCCGATCACAGGGATTTCGAGAATAAATCCGCAGTATTTGGCAGCAAGAACCGTCCGACGTTCCCCAAGTTCGTTACTTTTTTGCAGTAGATTGAGTGGGGGGGGGGGGTAAAAGTCAAGAATAGCGGTCATTTCCTGGTTCCGGCGCCCTGTAGCGCTATGCTATGGGTGAGCGCGAAGAAAGTGATTCCTTCACTCTGAGTTTAGCCTAAGTAGAGCATAGACGACCAGAGCGGCTTGGGCTGCATTCATACTTTGCGTAAGCGTTCTGAGCAGCGTTTAGGCCGCGTTCATAGCTTGCGACCATGAAGAAATGCAGAAATGCAGAAATGAAGAAATGCGGAATCTGCAGAAATGACGAAAAGCATTACATACGTATCGATTTGAAGAAATGCAGAAATGCGAATCTGTAAGTATCTAATATTTGAGTCATTTCTGCAGATTCCACATTTCTGCATTTCTTCATTTCCGCAAATTCCGCATTTCTTCATTTCTGCATTTCTTCAGATCGATACGTATCTAATGCTTTTCGTCATTTCTGCAGATTCCGCACTTCTGCAGTTTCCGCATTTCTGCATTTCCGCATTGAGCGTACGCCACCGTTTTGAGCGTGCCCAGCGAGTGGGAAGGTAAGGCATTGTTCATAGTTTGCGGTCCAGCGTTTCTCTGGAACGCGGCGGTTCGGCGAAAAGCTTGATACGTATCGACTGGCGGTTGGGCGAAGAGTCTGGCGGTTGGGCGAAAGGGTTTTGATACGAATCGACGGGCGTTTCGCCAAACCGCGACGTTTTTCGCCTTCGACGAAACGCTAGCTCGATCGCGTGGCGTTTTTCGCCAGCGAAATCGATACGCATCTATTGCTTTTCGCCCAACCGAAACTAGCGGTTGGCGATTCTCCGATCGATGACTATTTTTTGCTTTTCTCCCAACCGCCGTTTCGTCAGGGTCGCAGACTGTGAACAATGGCTAAGCATCGATTTAGTACGCCAACGGGCAGCAGCGTTCCGAGCGACTAGGAATTTATAGATACCACCCTAACCTTCCAAACGTGCCGGCGTTTTGAGCTCTATCGCGGGCAGTTTTGATATGTTTCGATCTGTGACTGTGTGACTTTGTCACTCCCCATCGCCAACTGACTTTCAGAAGTCCCTAGGATCCCGATCCCATCACTATGTGTCCATTCACGACGGCTATAGTGCAGGAGGTACAATTGCGGACAACACATTTTAGATCTCGTCACGGGGCATTCATTCAATTGAGTCAAAGAATCTCTGTAATCACGGTCTTTTATTCTGTGTCTTACTTTCTTCCTCGTTCCTTCTTTCTCTCTCTCCTGTAACTTGTTTTCTTCCTTCCGAATTCTAGTCAAGAAAATGACGAGGAAGGCTCAAAAGCAGTTACGTGGGTTGGATGCCTACAATGTGTTTATTTAGTCCTTATTTCTTGTTATCATTTATCGCAAAGAATACTTTTACATTTCGGTGAAATGTAGCATGGAAATGCCTTTTTCATTCTCGTGAGCGCTACTGGATCTGGGCCAAATTTGCTTTGGAGGAATTGGGTGACTTTGCTATTGGGAGTGTATTCCGTTTGACAGTAGATTTACAAGCTGAGGGTGCTTTCCAAGCTGGTTGGCCGGGTTTTCCATTTCCAGAATACCCGGCCAACCAGCTTGGAAAGCACCCTCAGCTTGTACCGGCAACCTTCCTAATTCAGTTCCCAAGAATATTTTCAGAAATCTTCTTGGGAACTGAATTAGGAAGGTTGCCGGTACGGGTTCTTACAGGGAACGGTTCAATATCGTTCGTATTGTTCTATTTTGTAAAACATTAAATTGGTGTCAGTTTGTCTGTCCGTCTGTAAAATGCCTCAAAAATGGGGTGAGGTTCCAGATAGAGGAAAGCACGCTAGCAAAGAGGAAGCCAGCTGGTACTGAAGTGTCAATGTTATCATTGTATTTGTTATAACCCCCACCTCTGCTACATAAGATATCCATTTAGTGCACCTTGATGTATTCTGCGAGGTGCTCACATCGCAGACTTCGGGGACCTAAGTGGTAAGGTGGCGATCTCTAAGAGATGTGAGAACCCATCAGAATCTGAATGCGATCCTCTGCTAACCATAAGATTTCGCCTGAAGGTACGGGTTGGGAAGGCGGGGGAGGGGGCTGTTGACAGAGAACAAAAATAGTTTACGTTCAAGTGACTGTTCAAAAATACATCGTGTTGTATTTTTATATGATCTCACTCAACGTGATTACCAGGTCCTGAGTGAGTTAGAGAGAAAACGCGGATAAGTGTTCTACAGCAAGCGACTAGACCACTTAGCCATTTTCATAGTGTGATTAGAGGATTTTCGGCTATTTACCTTTTACTGCCCCAATCATCCGTCAGCGAGCCACGTTTTAACGGTCTTTTTTCAGATTTGGCTGAAATGTAGTCTCATGGGATAGTCTGACCTCCTGAAACGAATATCACTTCTACTTGGTCCGCAACCTTGTAGCGCCCGCCGCCACCAGCGTCGGTGATTTTGGATATTCTGGTGCCTGTAGCGCGAGCGCCAGGAGGTTTCGTGCCGAACGGATGTGATGTTCTTGTTCAGGAGGTCAAACTACTCCAGGAGACGACATTTACACAAATCTGTCCACGGAGAAGAATGTCGGTCGAATAATGGTTAGGCTTCGAAAAATTGGGGCAGAACAGAATCGATAGTGCCGACTATTCAAATTTCATTGGAAAACGAAATGAACGAGTTCTTTTTATTCTGTCGTCCTGAGTTGATGCAATTGAGTAATATTCACGAGAGGTTTCCCTGTTCTCAGAGAAATGCAATGTATTCAACGTATTGTTACTCAGGGAATTACAATTCAAATGTTTTGTTTCGCAGGTAAAATGGAAATTGAAGTGAAAGTCGAACCGAGAACGCCACTGAAGCGCCCTTTGTCGTTTTCTGACGACAGTGTCGAGTGGGACAGCATTCGTGATGAGATTCCTGCTGATGGTAAGATGCATCACCATGTCATACCTTTCATATTTGTCTTTGAAATGGTTCTTCTGGAAGGGAAAACTTCCCTTCCCATCTCCCACAAGATTTTCCACGAAAGACCAGCTTTCTAGGAATAGGTGCGACGTGTTTAGCAACAGTTTACTGTTTCTTTTCTATGAGTGACCTCTATTGTGAGAACACTGTTCTGGAAAATGGCATGATTGTCTATAGCATCTATTGCTGATTACAAGTATCGCGTCTTTATCACCTCCCAAAATACCGCACTCTTCCTCGCTGATATCCTGTGCGTTTCGTTAACGTTGAGGTTCTGGTGGTTATTTACGCTATTGGAGCATATTCACCTATTTTCAGCGTCGCAAGTAGAAAAGTGGCCCAGTTCAGCAAAGGCAGCATTCGGACTTCGCGATTATGCGCGTCAGTGCGCTGTAACGCGCGTGTAAACGCTACCATTGCATCCAGCTTCGATGCTACGGGAACGCAATCATAGATGGGTGCTAATCGACGCCGGCAGCTACTGCTTTGAGAGAGTATGGGAGGATAGGTAGAGACGTGTTGTGTGATCACACGGTCTCAGGATATCTGCCAACAGCGAAGCTTTCCTTCTACTTTCTTTTTACTTCGCCCTTCTTTTTCTTCCTCCTTTCTGCCAACCCTCTTCCTCTTAGTTCCCCCCTTTGAATACTTTAGCAGAAGAAGCGATGAGAAAACACCTCTCCCTTGCAGCGAGATAGCATCCGGTTGACAGGTGCCTTGTAACCTCCTCCTACTGTGATGCGGGCCGCCTTGGCTGGGCGGGCGCGGTTTGCATGCGCGACCCCTTTCTGTTGTATAACAATTTGCAATTAACGCCTGGTTTCCCCCTGGTCAGCGCTCCTCGCCACCATAGATGGTACTAGTCTTGAGAGCAACAGGTACGTTGCTGTTGGTTAGGCTGCGTTCTTACTCAGCGTTAACGCTCCAAGCGTCCGGCAGTGTTTGAGCAACTCGAGCGCACGGCAGCGTCTTGAGCGTTTGGAGCATGTCCCTCAAAACGCTGTCCTACTCGAAAGGCTTAAAACGCTGAAGCAAGTATGAACGCAGTCTCAAGGAGCGATGATCACGTGCGCAGATGGGAGAACAGCCAGGTTTTGGCGAGTTTTCTAACACGACAATAAAAATTAGCGAGCCGAAGCCTGACTATATCATAGATATATTCGCAAATATTAGCTGGAGAATCGATAAGTAGCGCCTCTTTTCTTTCCCTCTTGTATAACTTCATCAGTTAAACGATCAATACATGTAGGTGAGTGCGAGACCGGCAGATGTTCAATGGTCTGAACATTATGGCCCGTTTGTGACATCTCAGTAATAACTACCATTTTGATGGTTGCGCCTTCACTGCTGCAGCATTGACGAATGCAAAATAAAGAGCCTTACTGTGGCTATGTAGCTTTTGTGTATGAGTAACTCAATATGCGTTGGAGCGATGGATTTTTGTGACCTTCACAAATGACACTGATTTTTCTAACTGATATAGTTTATTTGATAAGGGCCGCTCCCTAGTTTTCCTTATATTTCAGTGGGATGGAATTCAATGAAACTAAACAGATGATAATGATGATGGAGCCGTAATGAACGCAAAGGGTTTGCCTGTTGACTGGATTCCTTTTGGATATGTGCGTGGGCGAAAGGCGAAGAAGCAGCGATTAGAACTAGGTGCCGTTGCTCCAGTCAAGAAAGAGAGAATTGCAACGATTGACAAGCTAGGTAGGTCTAGACATATCCTTTCAAAATTCATTCTTCACTTTAGCATAAAAGAAGCTACAGTTCCTGAGTAAAGAACCTGTAGTCGAAGAATACTTTAATGATAGGTTTGTTGCAGAGTGTCAAGTATGGCATAGTGGTTGCCATACTTCCTGTTCTTTCTCAGTTAGTGATTGGACTTTTTTTTCCAGAGAATGAAGGTGAACGAGAAGTTGCAAACCAGATTCTTCAATCAATCCCTAAATACTGCGGATCGTTTGTCTTTGAAAGGTTTGTCTCGTATGTATGTTCATCTAACTTGTCCACTTGTTGTTGCCATTGTATGAACACATGCAGTCATAATTCTCCCAAGCGGGAGGGTGGCTGAGGCAGCGTTCAGACTTCGCGACGACAGCGCTTCGGTGGCGCGATTCGACGATCGATGCGCATGCTTTCGACTGCATCGATCGCGTCGAACGTGAGACCGAAGCGTCGCGAAGCATGAACGCTGCCTGAGCAGCCTAAACGGGAGCGTGATGTGGACAGCCGATGCAGCCTTTTTCTACCAATGATGCCATCTTGAGCCGAGAACAACTGGTTGAGAAGGCTGCCAAGGCTGCACTCCGTACATTCTACTTTACAGGTCCTCTCTAACACGGATAATGACCATGATGAAATCTAGATAAAAGGCCAGGTCAGGCATTTAGGGCGGAGGGTTCCAGGGAAATACTCACCAGCCAGTATACGTCGCGTTTAATATCATTGCCGCGATAAGGCAGCGTTCAGACTTCACGACGGCAGCGCTTCGATCGCGCGTTGGCGATCGACGTGCCTTCTACTGCATCAATCAGGCTAATGTCGTTTGGACTCCAGAAATTTCGGCTCCGAGCTTTTCAAATTGCCTAAGTCACCAAATCCACTAAAAACTTGTATATAGGGGTAATTCAACATCCTGATTACGAGTATGACACTCATTCTTGGCGCTGGCGCCAAGAGAGGACACTACGATTACCTCCTGGGCTCAGCCTTAGCAGAGCGCAGGTAACCGTAGTGTCATCCATTAGCGCCAAAATGAATGTCATATTCGTGATCAGGATGTTGCAAGTTTTCAGCGGATTTGGTGATCTTGCCATTTTTGAAATGAGCTCGGAGCGAAATTTCTGGAGTCCCAAACGGCATTTAGCCCATGAGTCGCGCCGAACGCGCGATCGAAGCGCTGCCGTCGTTAAGTCTGAAGCTGCCTAACGCGTCGAAGAGGGAGCGAGGGCCAACAGTGTACCACGGCAGTCCTAAACAGATAACTTTCCGATACTTCGTCAAAACAGCGCTAAAGCAAGGGAGAAGAGCAGAAGTAACGAATGGTAAGTGGTTGGCTTCTTGAGAGCGCTAACAATAAGACAAGAAACGCAGCTGAAAAACGTATTACGAAAACAGTCACAACATTTCTAAAGAAATATTCTGAATCCTTTGTGATTACTGACTGTATTTCAACAGTGCGCTCCGGCGCTATCGACTGAGGGCAAACATAGACTGACAGTTAGCTAATCTATCAAAAAACTATCAAAAAGCGAAAG